TTGTTATGTGCCGTGGAGTCGGTTCCGACTCACAGAGACCCTGTACAGGGTTTCCAAGGCTGTAAATCTTTACGGGAGCAGAAAGCCTCATCTTTCTCCCGCAGAACGGCTGGTAGTTTCGAACTGCTGACTGTTGAGGTCAGCAGCCCGATTCATAACCACTACGCTACCAGAGCTCCTTTTGTTGAACACCTAGGATAAGAGAAAGCTGAAACATTCACTATCTGTGACGTTTGCAGATTAGCAACTTGAAGGAAAACATGGTGTATCAATTCCAAGTGGCAGCCATGAACATCGCTGGATTAGGAGAATTCTCAGCAGCAAGTGAATCCTTCAAATGTGAAGAGTGGACCATTGCTGTTCCAGGTAAACCACAGAAACCATGTCTCAGTACCCGGATGTGCGGCTTCTAGTAGATCCTACAACTCGAAACTAATTTTTATGGGAAAGGGAATCTCTTGAACTCTCATGTTAACCTCAAATAGTTTTACAATAATGTTAAATGTTGTTGTTGTGTTGTTTTTAAGTGCCGTCAAGTCAGTTCCGACAAGTAACTACTCTGTTTAGGGTTTTTGAGGAACGACTGGTGAGCTTGAACTGCCGACCTTGCAGTTCAAACTGACTTTGAAGTCCAGCACATTAACCCTCAGTGCCACACCAGGACTCCAATGTTAAATAACAGATCCCAGTATAAAACTGAGAATAAACTCCTTATGTGTGTTTCCCAAATACATCCTGAAACTCCATAGCTCAGCCTCTGGGTGGAGTGCGTTTGAAACTAGTACATAATCTGAGTGTGAAATGATCATCTAAAGGGAATGCTAATTTTGTGCTTCTTGTTGTTAGTGTCATCTAGTCGCTTCTGAGTCATAGAAACCCTGGGGCAGTTTCTAAGGAGTGGCTTCTTAAAGGTCATTAAATTGAAGAGCATCCAGTTCACATCTCATAGTAAAATGTCTCAAAATGTCTTCCAATAGTAGAGTAGTGGTTACCAATCGGGCTGTGAACCGCAAGGTCAACAGTTCAAAACTACCAGCTGTTCCTCGGGAGAAAGATGAGACTTTCTGCTCCAGTAAAGATTTACAGCCTCAGAAACCCTGTAAAAGGGCCCTTATGAGACAAGGGTCGCTATGAGTCGGAACCAACTCCACGGCACTTAATAACAACAACAACATCCCCAATTCTGCAGCATTCTCCACTGCTATGGAGCCTCTTGTTTACCAATTCCATCTCTCTTCAGCCCCAGCCTACTTACTATCTCTCCCCTCCTCCCGCCCTCCTAGCTACAGATCAACTGAACATGCATGCCTAAGGCTTAATCTCTGGCCCTTCTCCATTTACCACTCTAGTCCTTCTACACATTTCCCTAATTTTCCTTCGCAAGAAAGATCCGGGGACTTGGCTGGTAGATACTCCTCTTTGCACATGATCGTTGTGGGTGGTTGAACGAGCAGAAAGGAAAGTGGAAAGAAGTAGAAACTCACTTGAAAAATTGAGCCAGTTAAAAACTGAATATAAGTATATTTACTAAACCATTACCATTCAAACTGGAAATATTCCTTTAGTTGATGTATGATTCTGTTTGCTTCCAGTAATAATGACTTCAGAGACACAAATATTTTGAGCACCACAGGGGGACTGAATTCTCCCACCTGGATTAGGAGTCCACATAGTTACCATTGACCTTATCAGAACAACAGGCCACACTGGGGCATACTGGGTGGACACAGCCCTGCCCTAATCCTTCCCACTTCCTTAATTTGAAACCCAGTGCCACAGAAACCATCCCTTTCCTTCCACTTAATGAACACTCACCTGCATTTCTGTGTCAAGTATAGATAAAACAAACACAAGGGAAATTTAAGAAAAGTTCAAGTGCTCACTCAACTTCAGCAAATACCAGCAAGCAAACACACCATCTCTCCTTACACCTCCTAGGTGCCATTTGATGCTATTCACATCCTTTCTGCCACCTAAGCTAGAGCAGATCCACCTTAAATGCTCTGACTGGAGTGGCACTGTAGGATAAGCTCTTGACTGCAGTATCTGTTTGAACTGAAAAGTTGGGGGTTCAAATCCACCACATGCTCCTCTGAAACCCTATACAGTGTCTCTATGAGTCGGAACTGACTCCATGGCAATTAACAACAACAAGAATTCTATAGCAAACCTGTAGACTTTGTTATAGATGTGACTGTAAAGATTAAGAAATTGTGAGCAGACCTGTGGAAAACATTTTGATAGGAAATTATGTAGTTGGTAAAAGAAGTTGCAGAGTGAGAGTTTAGTTAAGTTGGAAGAGAAATGACTTGGACAGTCCTCCATCTTACTGGCTTTCCCCTCTCACATCCACCATGGTCTTATGAATAGGGCTGGACAGACACTTATAGAAGAGAACATTATAGGCACCTGCTGCTAACCCTTCTGAAGAAACACCTGAGAAATTGAGACTTGGGTTAAATGATATACTGAAAGTCATAAAGTGGCAGAGTTAGTGTTGAGAAGTATGTCTTCTCATTCCCCGCTAGATGTCCTAGGAAGCCACAAAACATAACTCCTCTTCTATAAAGCAGGGATAGTGGTAGCCTTGGGATGCCTTTACTGGACTCTAAGGATAACACAGCAATGTTGTTGATAAGTGCCATCGAGTCAGTTCCAATCCATAGCGACCCTGTATAGGGTTTCCAAAGAGTGACTGGTGAGCTTGAACCTCCGACCTTGCAATTCAAACTGACCTTGCAATCCAACACAATAACCCACAGCGTCACACCAGGACTCCCACACAATAGTGGCTGCAAAAGATTTTGCAAATCAGAGCACACCACACAAGTGTTAACGTATTGGGGCTATTATTTAAACCAATTTTCACACAAGATATTGTGGGGACTCATACCTTTCATTCAAGATTTGAAAAATTCTGTTGTAAAAACTAAAGATAGATGTCCTACAATTTTCAAAAAGGATATGGCTACACACATGAGAAAACCCACAAAAGTACCTATTTCTATGGGAATCCTAGATTAAAGGACAAAAGATTTAGCCTTGAGGCCTTAAGTGTGGTTCTAAATGGACATGCATTTGGTTGTTCAGTTCTGCACTACAGCTTGTTTTCATTGATTTCACTGTCTCAGGACCTCCACACAACCTCAAGTATAGTGAAGTCAGGAAAACTTCCCTCGTTCTTCAGTGGAAGCCTCCAGTCCACTCTGGGAGGACTCCGGTGACTGGTTACTTTGTGGACTTGAAGGAAGCCAATGCCAAAGAGGACCAGTGGCGAGGGCTCAACAAGACGGCTACTGAAAACAAGTACCTGAGGGTAAGAGCATGCTCATAGTTTTAGAAACCATCTCGTCATAACATCAACCTTAGTTATCAGGACGGCTCTACATAAGTATGTTTCATAAATTGGGCTCTTAGTAAAATTCCATTTGGTGGTTGTGGTGGAGGGAAGTTTCCACTGATTAAAACAGTTTGGTGTATTTAATCTGAACTCCTTAGCCTCACTTTGGAAAACAGCTGCTAGCTCACATCTCTCTCTTCTTTCCCTACTTGCCACCCTTTCTTATCCAGCTCACAGGTTTGTTAGTCTTAAAACATTACTGCATTCTATTCCAAAATGGGACTTTTTCTTTCCTATCTGTATTATTTGTTCGTATTTGATGGTGCTCTTTTCATAGAGTTCACACCAATTAGCCTTTAACTGATGATTATTAACTGCTGACATGTAGCTCTTTTAAATACAAGGTCACAACATTTCACTTCATTAGAATAAAGGTATTCTAGCATTGTTTGAGTTAAACATTTTGAATAAATAAGTCCTATGGATCTCTATCACAACATTATGGGGAAGGGTGGGTGCCTTCTGTATATAATAAATTTCAATTAAAGTACAATATAGCTTTAAGCAGCCACACATTTTATAAAAAGAAAAATTAGTTTTTAATAAAATACTAACAGTATTTAAAAAAATAATGAGACGATACTGAACCCAAAGAAAGTCACAAAAAATATGACGTGTGCCTATTATATAAATTAAAAAAAAAAACCAATACTCTTTGTAACCTTAGTTCATTGGCAAACTTAGCTACCATCTTGATTGTTAAAAATGTGGCAATTTGGAATTTAGAATGTTCTTGTTATCATTGTTGTTGTTTTTAAGTGATGTTGAGTGGTTTCCAGGGAGTGGCTGTTAAGTTTGAACCACTGATCTTGTGGTTCAAAATGACCGTGCAGTCCAGTGCTTTAGCTCACAGCGTCAATTTGTTGTTGTTATTGTTGTTCATTGCCATCGAGTGGGTACCAACTGATAGCGACCCTATGCACAACAGAATGAAACACTGCCCAGTCCAGGGCCAACCTCATAGTTGTTGCCACACTTGAGCCCATTGATGCTGCCACTTTGCCAATCCATCTCTCTGGGGGTCTTCCTCTTTTTCTCTGACCCTTCACCTTACCAAACATG